TWGCGATTAAGAAAAACTAATGTCAGCTTTGAATTCCAAGTCTCTCCTCCAAATTTTCACATTAAATTCTATTAGCTACATTTATTCATTCGATCATATCGCATTTATCATATTTTAGAAAAGCCAAAAAGTAGAAAGCGAAACCAATGAACATAAGAAACAGTACACAATTGGAACAACATTTAGAGAGATGCGGTGAGTCGCACACACTCCTAGATCGTTACCGTCGTAATATTGCACGATTAATCGATAATCATTAAAGTTATTTTCTGTTTCTTTCATTTTTCATTATAATTAGCTTCTTGGAAATACAAGAGGAATGTTCTTCCAATTGTGAATGCGGAATGATGACAGAATTCTCTGAAAACAGAGAATTAGTCTTTATGTGCAGAGCTTTATGTGTTTCATATGAGCCATATAGAAAACTTGTGTCCAAGCAATAGCAACCACTTAGTAATTTGACTCGCCATTTAGAAAATTATATCTTTTATAATAATATTAATTAAACGTTGATATTATTTCGTAAATGTTTAAAATCATCACTATTTTACGTTTTTAAAATAGTAATATTATGGTAACCATATGAAACACAATTAGGTGTTTTCTTTCATATTTTCATTGCTTCTATGTAAAATATTCATTTTTCTGTATATTAGTATGTATTATGTAGATACTGAAAATATCGTACATTATTGTTATATCATTAGACTAAATTGTTGTCATACGCCTTTTAATTGCTTTCTACTATATCACCATATAATCTTTATGTTTTTTCAATATTAGGGTTATATTTGTCTGAATATCGTTTATCATCAGTTTCACCTGTAGAAGCAATTTTCTTCAACTTTCTGACAATACATCCATGATCACAAATCTTGGTTCTATACAATATTATGTGTAACACTTTAGCTATCGTTGTATCATGTCTGTTTGTACACAGTATCATATTTATCTATTCATTGAAGTAACTATTAATAATTTTTTTAATTATATTTGAAAGTGCATTAAGTATAAAACATCGAAATAAAAATATAAACATTTGTTTGTTTAAGTAATTACAACAGAACAGTTGCAGTAACAAGAAATAAATGTTATCGAGAATGATTTTATAAGAATAAGTCAGATGATATTGTACAAGAACACTATAAATAATTGAAAATGATTAGTTTTACTTGTACTATATATGTATAACTATTAAACATTTATATTGAAATTCATTTCCAGCTAAACTGGAGCAGTGAAGTCTGGTATAAGCCGCTCCTATGCGCCAGCGCAACAACATGTTTAAAGAAATGTTTCGTCGCTCTACGTGGTTAAAGCAACGCTAATATAAAATTAGAAGACATGGCCATGGTGTTTTCAAATTAATTGAAGGACAGATTTATCGCGTCACTTAAAAATGCCTACAATATGGAGAACTCAATAACGTGATAAGTTATGTTAATATTTAAAAGTAGGCTATTTAAAGTCTGTATTTAGTTCTTCAATGAATTTTGGACACTGCAATATTGCTAGTTAAAAAAGAGTGACATTAAATGTCCCATGTTAGTGTGGTCTCAATGATTTCTTTCTTTTAGAATTATATAGATCATTTCTTTTGTTATTTTACAATACACACACATACACACATACATATATACATATTTATATCTAATTTATCTTCTTGACTATGATTAAAAATACAAATTTAATTACAAAATTTTTACATTTTTTATGCGCGCGTGTGGATGATTACATAATTATATTTCAAGGCCTTGTAGAATACAAAAATATGACTTGTAGTAGTATCATGAAGGATATTTGTATCACCAGAATATATCCATAATATCTGTAAATGATATATCATTCTTGTTTAAAGTGTATAAAGTATATTATACCTTAATTGTAATGAAAATAATTATTTTCTTTTTAATCTGTATTTCATTGCCATTAATTTTATTTGAAGCTTTTAATTTTAATCGCAAACAATTTGTTTGCGTTTGAATAACTGCCATATATTTTAACATACACACTAATTTGGGACATAATATTATAATAAATTAGCTTTTAACGAATTGTTAAATATGCATTGCCCTAAGGGAAATACGCATTGAAAAATTATAAAAAATCTGTAACAATTAACAAGAGTTCCCTCTTATATGATCCCAATTATTATAATTCTATAGAATTGAAAAAGATATTTAATTCTTGAAATATATGCAAATGTTATAATTTATATCAAGTATATGTCAAAGATAAGACAGTAACAGTTTTATCTTGTCAATAAGGGAAATCACATTCATCACTTGATTTCGCCATAATGCTTGATAATATGGTCTTATATTACTTTTATAATTGTTAATTTTTTTAATATTTATCAAGTTCATCTTGTTTCTTAGAATATAAGATTTCACAACCATACATTTACAAAATTTTCCGAACAACTCTTAAAGATTAAGCGCTTACTTTGATAATCATACAATTCCTTATAAGAAAACATTTATTTCTTTTATATTAAACTCAATGCGACTCATTCAATCTGACTTATTCCATTTGATGGAACGCACGCTCTTAGTAATAGTATATCTTATCTTTATGAATTTTTTAATAGCACTTGCCGAACGTTGGAGAAGAAAGGGGTTGTTAGTATAATGAGATCATAATATCAATAAGTCTCGTTCCACAGGGAATTGTATATACAAAAATATATAATATACCCATTTAAAAAATACCAGCTTAATCAAAACAATAATGCATACGCTTCTATGAGTTGATACATGTGCATTCAACATAAAATATTTCTAAATGTTAGAGTCGCATTGGAAGAAATATTCACCACGATTTGGTATGTAATAGCTATGTGTTTTCTATATACATGCATATATGTGCATTTTTATATGTATATATAAAATGTATTTTTTATATATATATATAATATGCAAAAAACAATAACAAATTTTAAGTTATATAAGAAATGATTATAATAGATAATATATAATTGTAAAACTAAAAGATTGCTCTTTTCGTTTTAAAACGGCCTTCCTCATAAAAACAAATTACAGGTAATAGGTGAAACGTCGTCGACGCAAGCTTCGCTAATCATCAATCAACGTTAACTACGATCTGCGCGTATAATTTTTCATTTATAAAGCAATGTAATTATATTTTAAAGTTTACTTTGCGTGTCTCTATATGAAATATTATATGTACAGCTGGGCTACAGTATCGGATATTTCAAGGGGCCGCTTTAACAGGAAAAGAACTTATATGCAGCATCTTGTAATTGTAATTACAGCTGCACTTTTGGAATTGTCAAGCTATATATATATGTTTAATTTATATAAAATTTATATTTTGCTCTCGTTGAAAAGTAACAATCGTAATATTATTTCATTTAACTATTATTATTGGGCACATAGATTCATTTTGTTATTTCTTTGATAGAATTTATCTGTTTCTTTCTTTTTTTTTTTTATTTTTATTCACATTAAAAGCATGAAGGAGCACTGTAATGCATGCACTTATATTTTATAAGTGTAACGTTATTAATGATACATCAATTTTGAATGTGCCTTTCTATAGCTTTCTAAAACTTTATTCGATAATAATGTATGATATAAGATGGATTCATAATTGCTACTAATGTTGTAAACATACGATTTAATGATATTTGTTATCCTTTCGATATGGATACGTTGGAATGAACAAAACTGTTGATCATCTAATGTTTTTCTTATGAAAGAAAGGTATTAGAAAGATATCTTGATTCTGAAGTTTATTGAAAGTGCTTTGTAATGAGTGTATTGTCCCTTTCTCGGTCAATACTTGGATGTAATAGTATATGTAAAAGCATAGATGGAAACTGCCAATACAGAGAAAAGAATGATTTTAGATAATAGTACGTACTATTTCCTAGTGCTTCAATTTACTGCTTTATCCGGTTTTCAAAACTCTATGAAATCACAGTATATAATTAAATGTTTATACTTATAAGATAGAATAAAAATTCGTCATGTGCTGCAAAAAGTAACGCATTACTTATTTCTAATTTATATTGGACGTACAATCATATAAAAATGATTAAGGTATGTAAAATATTTGTTATCAATATTTTGCTTAATAGAATATTTGATATCTTACATGTATGTATTATATATCATTTGTAAAAATTTCTTTCAATTTAATACGCATAACTTGTGAGAATAATTTACGTCATATATTATACACACACATGTGCACAATAGGTGGGATTTTTCACCCCCGTATGAATGTGTGCTCGAATGTTACTCGATGCACGCATAATCGCATCGCGCATGCGTGAAAACGCCGCATACGTTCCCTCTTTTCCCCCTTCCTATGACATTGCGCGTGTGTTCATCCTGTCATTGAAAAAGTCAGTCCTAGCAAGATGGCCGGCCGGACGAGCTCGGCCTTTTGTTATTGCGCCCTTGCATTTTATCTGTTTTTCCTCACCGGTTCGAATAACGGGGAAAGATTTGGTGATAAACCAAAGACCTTGCACATCTACAAGGATAACGAATCTTTACAATCAAAGAAAACTGTTATTATCAATAAAAATACCTTTAACGACGACGATAATGGAGAAACGTCATACCATCAACGAACGCGCAGAAGTGACGAATCACGAAATCTAAACATTAAGCCAAATATTACCGTCAAGGTAGGTCACTCCTTTCTATCTCTCTTTCGATTTGTTTTATAAAAAAAAAATTCAATTCGATATTTAGCATAGAATAATGATTGTGTCTTCTTTTCCAGTTTTTTTTCTTTCATTCCTATCTTTCACTCTTTCTCTTTCTCCTACTTTTCTTAACTTTAGCAGCGAGCAAGTTGCCAACGGTCCACGTTTTCTTGCATTCTTTCTCTCTCTCCCTCTCTCTGTCTCTCTCTTTCTCTCTCTCTCTCTCTCTCTCTCTCTTCTATACGATAAAGATTGTCGTATTTACGATTAATCTCCCTCGTTTGCGACAATTCTCCATCGTTATTTGCTACTTCCTGTGTTACAAGAATAGCTATAACATATAGTTACATAGGGCTTCTATGTCATCGTCGTGCAGTAAAGGATAATTGACATGTTATGCACCTTCTAGAATAAATTTAATCAAACGCGTTAAAACGAGATAGCGTCATATTTCTTCTGTCCTTTAGTTATTAAAACGCGGAGGTCGATAACCGTTTAGCTTGCATAGCTTATCATTTTACAGCCCTACATGATTATTTAAATAAACATTCCTTGTTTGTAAATAGAAAAAGATCAGATTCTTTTAATTTCATTCGTAGGAATGACATCTGCTCTTTTTCCTTCGTTATTCCATCTATCTTATGTTTTAAAAATGACCTATGTTTTTTTATAATCACTGTATATTCTTGGAAAAATACGTAAGACAGTAATTGCTGCATCATATTCTATTGTATTCTTTCGCTCATCGTATATCAGCAGAAAATGCATTGATAAAATAATATTTAATGCAATAAAATATTTCATTTTTTCCCCAAATGATTAAATTAGAATATAATTGATTAAAAAACTTTTCAAATATTAAGCCACATTATTTGTGCTCGATTAAATTCCTTCCATATAGACCGTAGTCTGTTATCTTTTTAAAAATATTTCTTTTACTCTGCCATAACAATGGCTAGCTTGCCGTGTCATGTGACAATTACTCGAGTATCAGTATGATTATATTATGAGACTTTGATTGGTAGAGACAGATAAGTATTCTAAAGTATTTGTAATAACAAAGTAAATATTTCTGCTACTGCAGTAATAGATAAATATATTTTAACGATTGTGAATGTTAAGACACTTTGAATGCATGTAATGATGCACACAAAAAAACATATACTTTTATAATAAATAATTTAATTACCTCATGCATTATTAAATAAACTTATTAACTTGGGATTGCCCGTTTATATAAGACATTATTATGTTAAGTATCCAAATTTGCCTTTCTCTTTTATTTTCAAGGTTCTTTCCTTCTTCATTTTTATATCCCATGTAGATACATTATGAATCATTAAATGATTCATCCTTTTTAATCAAAAGACCTTTGAGCATCGTACCAAGATCAAACTAAATTGATTTGAGCAATTTTCTTATATTCAATTTATTTTCGTGTTATTCAATTATACTATATATTCATAAAAAAACTCCTATAAAATAGAGATCTTCTGTCATTTTTATTTAAAATAAATGTTCTTATCGAAGATAAATTTTCTCAACATGATAACAAATGATTAATTGATTAGGATATTGTTAAATAGGATGATAAAGAAAAGATATATATAAGACAACGTATAAATGTTTATTTATGTATTTACAGGTAAACGCATTAAATGATTCTCATCAACAATTGATGGTGCATTGGGTTAGTGAAGGGTCAAATGTGATAATATGTTTAGCAAAAGATAGTACTCCTTTATTAGGGATGCGAGAAAGTAATCCTAGTGCTGTGTATATAAGTTATGATTATGGAGATACGTTTGAGAATAAGACTGATCAATTCAGAGTTTCTTATGAATACAATGCACGATATGCTACTTTAGATAAATTT